GAAAACAGTCCAGGAGAACCTGGACCTGAGCACACCCCGTGCCAACTGAAAGGCCATCTCAGTAGCAGATCGGAAGCTTTGAACACAGATCACCAAAAGCCACATAGGTTTGAGATGCTATCAAGGACATCACACGTTCAGAAAGCAAAAGGTCACTAAAAAGTCAAGAAAGAAAGAAAGAAAGAAAAGCAAAATGGATATCAGAAAATACTTTGAAATGTATTCTTGGACATAGAATAGTTAAAGCAAATAGAAGAAACGCTGAAGCAAAGGAGCTGAACAAAAGATCCCAGAGGATGACTGGAGAAGACAGAATCGCGTTATCATGAAATGTGCAAGGGACTGGTCAGAAAACCAAAGGGAAGTACATGCCCAGCACTGTGTAAGCTGAAATAACGGAAGAAAAAAATTAAATCTAGCCGGAAGGAGTCTATGGGCAAAATATCGAACAAGCAGAAACCATCAAAGGGAGATGAAAGGAAAACTCGGGTCACTGTCCCAAAACAGAATTGGTAGACATTTCAGGAAGCGGCATGTGATCAAGAACTGATGGCATGGAAGGAAGAAGTCCAAGCTGCGCTGAAGGTACTGGCAAAAACAAGGCTCTGGGAAATGACTGCCAGTTGAGATATTTCAGCAAATGGATGTAATTCTGGAAGCACTCCCTCTGTGCCCTGTTCCCACAACAGCCTCTTGATTCACGCACAGTTCAGCATGAGCACAGTCAAGTGTTCTGAAACATTATACTTGGAAACATAGAGGGTCAGCAAGAGAGGTGAATGATGCCAATGGGATGGACTGACACGGGCTGCAACCCCCGGCCGAACCACTGCAACGATTGAGAGGATGGTACAGGACGCAGGCAGTGTGGCATCTGGTTGCAATTATGGGCCCTATGCGTGGGAATCAACTTGAGGCACCTAACAACAACAACAGTACATATTAAAATGAGCGTATGCTCTTGCCTCTGATTCTAATCCTGCTCGTATATTACAGCCTTTCCTCCTAACTTTTTTTCTCCAATAATGAGGAAATCTGCTCTCACTACCTACAATATAGTTACATGCTTGGTCCATTCAACTGTGCACCTAAAAACTTTCAGAATTTCAGTAATAAAACACATTGAGGAAGTAAATTAGAACATTTATATACAATTCTTTGTTGCCCTTACTCTTAGAATATCCCATTAAGATTTTATTTTCCAAAGTTACATAGGTTAGTTCTTTTCTGACTCATCCCCTTTGGTGTCATTATTTGTTTTTAACACAGGTTTATTTTATTTTTTAAATTTATAATTTTTATTGGGGGGGGGGGCTCTTACAAATCTTATAACAATCCACCATTCAATAGAATTAAGCACACTTGGACATATGTTGCCATCAACATTTCCAAAACAGTTTTTTTTCCACTTGAGTCCTTGGTATCAGCTCCTCTTTTTACCCCTCCCCCCGCCTCCCACCCTTGTGAATCCTTGATCAATTATATATTATTATAGTTATTTTGTGTCTTACACTGTCCATTATCTCCCTTCACCACCTTTCTGTTATTCATCCCCGGTGGGGGGGGGTGCTCTCGATCTAACCTTGTGATGGGTTCCCCCTTTCTCTCCCTTCCAGTTAGGTTTATTCTTAATTTTTTTTTAAAAGGAGCTCACTGCCATCAAGTTGATGCCAACTCATAGCCTCCCTATAGGACAGGTACAACGGCCCCTCTGAGTTCCTGAGCCTATGACTCTGTCTAGGAGTAGAAAGCCCAGTCTTTCTCACCGAGGGCTGCTGGTGGTTTCCAACTGATGACCTTTCGGATCTCAGCCCAATGCATAACCATTACGACACCAGGGCTCCTCATTCTTGATAGGAATGCTACTCTTACGTTTTTCCTCCCACACTGTTACTGGTGAATATCTTTGAGCAATTACAAGATAATATCTGGGTAGGATCAGGGAAGTGCTTTACCAAGACACTTAGCTTTTAATTGCTCAAAAGCAGCACATATGATTTATTTAGGTGTGGCACCTAATATTCAACATAAATATTTGAGATCTTTATCTTAACACAGCCTTGGACGTCTACATGAGTTTTACAGCAACCTCATCCCTTCGTTGCCTCTTCTGGAACTACGCCCCATCCAGCACTGAAAAATGATTCTGCCTTTCTCTCTAGCTGCTCAGTTTCCCAGCATATCTTAAAGCCAAGGAGAGGAAATGAAAGCGATTCCAGTGCGAAGTCCAAAGCTGAGTGTTTCTAGAGTCCAAGTGAGAAGGGAGTGATGGACAAGGGCGGGGGCACTCAGAGAGAGGGTGTTCTGAGAAAGGGAAGAAATCAGCTGAGTTTAAGTTTGAAAACTGCGCAGAAGAAATGGACTCTGAGCCCCATAGAGGACACCATCATCTAAGGACAAA